AATAGGTATAAGAATATAATTTCAATAGAATTCTTATTGTATGAATTATTGATAAATTATTCCAATCCAGAAATAATTTATCCTGTCATCTAAAGTGATGAATGGTTTCTGTGAAGGACTTAGCATTTTATTAGCAGTGTTTCCTTCCGTAAGTGTCTACTGAAGTCCAAATTTCCCAGCCATATCTTTGTTTGGTATTTTTGTGTCTGCAGGGAAGGAGGGGAGGGGGATGCGGTGGTTCAGTGATTCCTAGGGAAGCAAGGTTTGTTTTGTTTTGTTTTGTTTTTTTCTGAAATGTGTGAGTGAGTGAGCTCTACTGCCTCCTACAGTTTCAATTAAAACGTTATGGGCTTCCAGGACCTACCATGACCACCGTATGAAAAATAACCACCTGCAGGCGTTCAGAGGAATATCAATTGAGAGAGAAGCATGTAAAGATGTACTCAGTGTCCTTGGTCATCCAGAGATGCAAATCAAAACGACCCTAAGTTTCCACCTTACACCCATCAGTATGGCTAAGATAAAAAAAACTCAAGTGACAAGCACATGGTGGAGAGAATGTGGGAAAGGGGGAACCCTCCTCCACCGCGGATGGGGATGTAAACTTGTATAACCACTTTGGAAATCAATCTAGTGCTTTCTTAGAGCATTAGGAATAGTAGGAATAGTACAACCTCAAGATCTTCAATGCCACTCCTGGATATCTATCCAAAAGACGCTCAAAAATACAAGAACGTTTGCTCAACTATCTTCATAGCAGCTGTATTCCTAATAGCCAAAATCTGGAAACAACCCCAGATGCCCCTCAGCTGAGGAATGGATACAGTGATCGTGGCACATTTACACAATGGGATATTACTCTCAGCCATTAAAAACAAGGGAATCATGTAATTTGCAGACAAATGGGTGGAACTAGAAAAGATCATGCTGAGTGAGGTGTCCCAGAGCAGAATGGCACACTTGATATATACTCACTTATAAGTGGATATTAACTGTATAATATAGGCTAATCATACTAAAATCCACAGACCCTAAAAAAGCTAAGCAAGGAGGACCTTAGGGAAGAAGCTTAATCCTCACTCAGAAAGGCAAACAGGATAGATATTGGAAGTAGGAAAAAACAGGGAACAGGACAGGAGCCTTTCACAGGAGAGTTCCAAAGCAGATGCTGAGACTCATAGCCAAACTTTGGGCAGAGTGCAGGGAATTTTATGGAAGAAGGTGGCGGGGGGATAGAAAGACCTGGAGGGGACATGAGCATCACAAGAAGACCAGTAGAGAAAAAAATAATCTGGGTTATGGGGTCCTGCAGAGGCTGATGAATCAATCAAGGAACATGCACGGAGAGGACCTATACTCCCTGCTCAGATGTAGCCTATGGCAGCTCAGTCTCCAAGTGAGTTCCCTAGTAAAGGGAACAGGGGCTGTCTGTGACATGGACTCAGTGGCTGGCTCTTTGATTACTTCCCCCTAGGAGGGTGCCAACTAGGCCACAGAGAAAGAGGATCCAGACAGTCCTGATGAGACCTGATTCTCTAGGGTCACATAGTAGAGGAGAAGGATCTCCCCTATCAGTGGACTAGAGGAGGGACATGGGGGAGGAACAATAAAGGGGGAGGAGACTGGGAGGAAATGAGGGAAGAGGCTATAGCCTGCTTACAAACTGACTAAATTGTAATTAAATAATAATAAAGAAAAAATAAAATAAAGCAAAATATCTCAGAAGACTGGTTAGTCAACTCCAGCTTAACAAACAACTAAAACAATTTAGAAAATCGCGATGGAAATTACTTTTTTTGTTTTGTTTTTTATATTAATTACAGTTTGTTCACTTTGTATCCCAGCTGTATCCTCCTCATTTCCTCCCAACCCCACCCTTCCTCCCTCATCTCCTCCCATGCCCCTCTCCAAGTCCCCTGATGGAAGGGTTCCTCCTCCCCTTAATGGAAATTGAGTATATTGAGTATATTGAGAAATTGAGTATATTGTGCCTTCATTTTCATTGAATTCTAGGAAGACTTTAATTTCTTTCTTTATTTCTTCTCTGACCCAGCTGTTATTTTTTAGCAGGTTGTTCAGTTTCCATGTGTGTGTAGCCCTTTTGCTATTTCTGTCATTGAGGTCCATTCAGCTTTATTCCATGGTGATCAGATAGGATACGAGGGATTATTTCAATCTTCTTGTATCTGTTGAGGTTCACTTTGTGACCAACTATATGGTCTATTTTGGAGAAGGTTCCATGAGGTGCTGAGAAGAAGGTAAATTCTTTTGTGTTTGAGTGAGTGTAAGGTTCTGTAAATGTCTGTTAGGTCCATTTGATTCATAACCTCTGTTAGAGACATTGTTTCTTTGTTTAATTTCTGTTTTGTTGACCTGTCCTTTGTTGAGAGTGGCGTGTTGAAGTCTCCCACTATTAATGTGTGGGGATCTATTTGTGATTTAAGTTACCAAAGGCCATTCATGGGTTTAACCTAAGATGCCTGCACAGGTGTAGCCCATGGCAGTTCAGTGTCCAAGTAGGTTCCAAAGTAATGGGAACAGGGACTGTCTCTGACATGAACTGATTGGTCTGCTCTTTAATCACCTCCCCCTGAGGGGGGAGCAGCCTTACCAGGCCATAGAGGAAGACAATGCAGCCACTCTTGAGAGACCTAATAGACTAGGATCAAAAGGAAGGAAAAGAAGACCTCTCCTATCAGTGGAGTTGGAGAGGGGCATGCATGCAGAAGTGGGAGGAAGGGAAGGATTTGGGACGGGAGGAGAAAGGGAACTACAGGGGGATACAAAGTGAATAAAGTGTAATTAATAAAGAATGAAAAAATAAAAACTAAACAAGCAGTGCTTAAAATATAGTATAAATCATTCTGAATAAGCTGATATAAATGTTTTATTGTAAATTCAGGTTTCAAAATATTAACTGGGATTCATTTATATGTATGACTTCTATGGTTAAATGTAGCAATTTATAACAAATGTTTTGAATGAACAGTAACTGATTCTCCAAGATCCATCAGAGCAAATCCATACCATTCCGTATCTTGTTTTAAGTTCAGTCCATTTCTCTGTCTATGCTGTACTGTGTCCTAATGACATAATGTAGATACACTGATGTCATCAGTAGAAAGGATCTACTTTTGTGTTGCGTTCTACAATTCCTAACAGTTTTTCTCTGTATCATCACATCCTGTCTGTTTTATAAATGAAAGAAATGAAGTTTTGAGAGGTCAAGTAGATTGCCTGTGATCTCATTCCCAGTAAATGGCTGGGACTCCAAGTTCTAGTGTTCTTGTTCAAAGCTATTACAAAACACCAGAGAGAGAATAGCTATGTGAGGAGGGAGAATCATGTGTTGTTTTGGAAGCAGATAATTAGAAAAATGGGTTTTCTTCTTCATGATTCCTTTCACTTATTTGTTGATGAAATTTAAAAAAATAAATATTATTGTTGAAGATTGCCAAGATCATCTTCCTTTAAATATCAGTTCATTCAATTAACTTGTTATTTATCTTATTTAATGATTCTTTCAGATGAAGATACAAAAATTCATTAGTTAGATCTCAAGTCATTGTTAGTCTTGAATCAAAAATAGCATTATCATCCAAATAATTCACACATAGTTCATGACTGTTGACTAAATGAAAGACATGAGTTAAGTAGACAGAATAATAATCATCCATATATAATTCTGTAATGTATTTAGTACTAGTAGAATATTTCACATGTTTTAAATACTACATTAAACATATTAACTTTGCTCATTATTTCTTTAGGTAAAGGTTTTTTTTTTCCTTTACTAGATACAGTATTTTTCAAAACCAAAATTTGCAAGTTTTCTCTCTAAATAACACACATGCGTTACCTAGAATGGCCTAAGTTCTGTCAGTGTAAACCGTAAATCTTGAAATAGCACTGCCATGTGTTTCAGTGTGGTAAAACACTAAAGAATTTGTTTTCTGAGTAGGTAGCATCTTTTGTGAATCATTGAGTCTCTAGTATTGCATCATTTAAGCAACAATGCAGAGATTTAGTCTGTTTCTCATTTT